GCCACCACCACCACTGCCTCCTCTCCTCCTCCTCGTCCCCCCAGCCCCCCAGCAGCAGTGGCAAGGGAGCAACCTCCACGCCTTCCCCTGGCATGCCTGATGGAGCCGCAGCAGGGGGGGCAGGCGGCAGGGGAGGGGGAGGCGGGCTGCTGCGTGTGGCAGTGGATGTGGACGAGGAGCAGCACGAGTGGGCTGTCACCGTCACCGCACACAACCTCTTCGCACCCGTGCGTGCTGCTCTGCCACATGTGTTGTGCCCCATCCCCATTCATGTTCCAAGAACCATGTTCCATGTGCTGAGCGCATCACCTTATCACTTTGCCCTATGTTGCACCATGCGCCACGCATGTAACAGATGCTGATGCATCATTGCATAGGAACGCTTCCCGCGGTTGCGCATTATTGCTGTGGTCATTCATCGTACATCTCTGCCTCGTGCTTCTCATTTTGCAGTGTTCCCTGCAACTATCACCATCGCCATCACCATCACCATCACCATCACCATCACCATCACCATCACCATCACCATCAGCATCAGCATCAGCATCAGCATCAGCATCACCATCACCATCAGCATCATCCCCACCTCCCCCCGAGTGCTGGCGCCAGGTGGTGGAGCGGCTGCTGGAGATTCCCCTGGATTGGTTCGGCGGCAGACTCGATGGGCAGGTCAGAGAGCCCTCGCCCCTCGCCCTCACTGCATCCATGTGTCTCCACTGCCCCGCTGCATGCATCCATGTGTCTCCACTGCCTCACTGCATCCATGTGTCTCCACTGCCCCGCTGCATCCATGTGTCTCCACTGCCCCGCTGCACGCATCCATGTGTCTCCACTGCCTCACTGCATCCATGTGTCACCACTGCCTCACCCCATCCATGTGTCTCCACTGCCTCACTGCATCCATGTGTCTCCACTGCCTCACTGCATCCATGTGTCTCCACTGCCTCACCGCATCCTTGTGTCACCACTGCCTCACTGCGGTTTAAGATCTTGGCTTTCTTCAACTGGCTGCCCTTCTCCCTTATACTCCCTTATACTCCCTTATACTCCCTTATACTCCCTCGTGCTTTTTGCTGCTCGTGCTGCCAGAGGCCTCGTTCGTTAGAACCTGCATCTGCACCCATCTCTCTTCTCCTGCATGCTTCAATTGGCTTCGCCGCTGTGCATATCAATGCACTCCATGTGCTGCTCTTATGCCTATGCGCGTGTGTGAGGCGCTTGAGTGCATGTGTGTGTGGGGGTGTGCGTGCGAGAGAGCAGGTGCACCTGTGGATGGGAGCGGGGGATTCTTTCCCCAACTTCAAGGGCCGAGTTGACGTCAGAGACCTTGCTTTCCAAATATGGGAGTCACCCTGTGCTTTCACTGTAAGGCCACTCACGTTGTCACACCATTTGCACACTCACACCAACCCCATCCATTGTCACACATCCAGCCGTGCCACCATATTTCCTCACACAACGCTTCGGACCGTTGTTTGCTGTGAGGCTGTGACCTCTCTGCATCATGCCGTCCCCTCTGCGCCTTCCCCCCCCCCCGTCCGCGGGGCCTTAGGGCGTGCAAGGCGCGGTGGTGCTGGAGGGGCAGCGGCTGTTTCTGCACGGCGTGGAGGGGCGGTACGGCCACGTGCCGCTGCGGGCGTCGGGGGACATGGACCTCAACCAGAGCGGGGGGGGGCAGTACCGCATCTCCGCCCAGGTGAGTGCGGGCGGGCAGTATGGCATCTCTGCCCAGGTGCGCTGTTGCTCTCACCCTCTCATGCCCTCTCATGCCCTCTCATGCCCTCTCATGCCCTCTCAAGCCCTCTCATGCCCTCTCATGTTCGCAGGTGCATTTGTTTCCCAGCTGTGCTCTGTGCTTCTCACGACCTTGGCTGTTGGGTGTGTCACGGGGTGCAGGTTCAACCTGTGGAGGCGAATCTGCTGATGAAGACTCTCAACGCCAAGCCCTTGCCATACCCGGTATGTGATGCGCATGTGTGGCGTGCTCACCGTTGGTATTCATCTCTCTGCCCACATGTCTAAACAACAACAACCGCAACCAGCATGAGTGCATCTGCTCCCATTCCCGCAGCGACTCCGACTCTTTCTCCCCCTATCCTGCCAGCTGGCAGGACGGCTGCAAGGACTGCTCTTCTGCCGCGGGCCTCTCGATGCGCCGTTATTTGAGGGCACTGCTGAGCTGGCAGCAGAGCCTGCTGATGTGGACGCGGCAGTTGCTGCTGTGGCGGGGTCGGATGCAGCGGAGGCAGTGGCGGCGTGGCGGCAGGAGGGGGGGTGGGGGCGTATGACCGCGTGCCCTTCTCTTCTGCGTCTGCCAACTTCACCTTCAACACTGACGACTGTGTGAGGGGGCTTGCTGCGCGTGGGTGTGTGAGGGGGCTTGCTGCGCGTGGGTGTGTGAGGGGGTTTGCTGCGCGTGGGTGTGTGAGGGGGCTTGCTGCGCGTGGGTGTGTGAGGGGGCTTGCTGCGCGTGGGTGTGTGAGGGGGCTTGCTGCGCGTGGGTGTGTGAGGGGGCTTGCTGCGCGTGGGTGTGTGAGGGGGCTTGCTGCGCGTGGGTGTGTGAGGGGGCTTGCTGCGCATGGGTGTGTGAGGGGGCTTCCTGAGCGTGGGTGTGTGAGGGGGCTTGCTGCGTGTGGGTGTGTGAGGGGGCTTGCTGCGCGTGGGTGTGTGAGGGGGCTTGCTGCGCGTGGGTGTGTGAGGGGGCTTGCTGCGCGTGGGTGTGTGAGGGGCTTGCTCCATGTGGGTGTGTGAGCAGCGCACATGCTCCACAGGATGCATGGCTGGGAGTCATAGGAGAGCCCGTGGCAAGCAACACCCGTTTCTTCTTGACTGCCATCCTCCGCTCTTCGCATCCCTGCTTCCCCCTTCCCCCTTCCCCCTTCCCCCTTCCCCTTCCCCCTTCCCCCTTCCCCTCCTCTGCCCGCGCACGCTGCCAGGTGGCTGAGCTGCACGGGGTGCGGGCGGTGCCGGTGGGAGGAGGGGAGATTCGAGGGGCAGGCACACTGTGGGTCTGCCCTCAGGTGAGTATGCTGTGCCCTCAGGTGAGTATGCTGTGCCCTCAGGTGAGTGTGGCGTGTGTTCAGGTGAGTGTAAACCTGGGTGGGTACTTTGTCAAATTGATAAGGGTTGTTTGCCGGTGCTCAGATATGTGTTGCTTCACGGTTGAGGTATCTCTCTCGCCTGCATTCCGCCACCATCCACCGTCGGACCCAACACCTGTTATGGCCGTGCGTGCGTGCCCCCCCCGCTCTGGCAGGCGGAGGTGGACCCGTCGGCAGTGAATGTGGACTGCTGGGCGTCGGGCGTGTCTCTGGACCGCCTGCTCGCCTTCTACCTGCCGTCAACCGCCGCCCCGCCCCCCTCGCTGCTGGGCCTTGCGTCTGGCGAAGCAGGCTTCAGAGGCTCCCTGCTCTCCCCGTATGCCTCCCTCTGCTTTGCTTCCCCGTGTCTGTCTTGCAGTGTTGCATTCTCCTTCCTGCCTGCTCTCTCACTCTTTTCTTCTCCTTGCTTCCCATGTGAGCTTACCCCCCACCCCATACACCCCCTCGCCCATTCTCTTCCCCCCCCACAGCACGGTGGAGGCGGTGTGGAAGGCCCCTCAGGCGCGGGGTCCACTGGAGGGCATGCAGGGCTCGCTGTCTCTCTCACGGGACACCGCCCACGCCGCCACCCACGCGCACGCCCTGGACCTCCTCGCCTCCGCCTCCCTCTCTGCCCCTCCCCCTGCCCCTCTCCCCCGCGCCCACGCCGCAGCGCCTCACGCCCGTGGCCAGTGCTGTCGCTTGACCTGCCAGCACTGCCCCCACGGCCGCGCCTGGAGCGCGTGGAGAGTGACGTGCGCCTGCGCGCCTTCGACGCCCTCGCCCTGCTGCCCGCTGCCCCCCTGCCGCTGCCACCACCCCAGCCATCTCTGCGCCACCTGCGGCTGTCGGGACGCCTCAAGCTGTCTGCGCGCGTGCCGTGGGGGAAGAGGTGCAGGCTGGCAGGGAGGGCGAGGCAGGGGGAGGGGAGGGGCAGGAGGCAGGGTTGCCAGGGCTGGAGGGGAGTGTGCTGATTCAGGGGCTGAAGCTGAACCAGCTGCTGCTGGGGGCGAACCTCTCAGGCGCCGTGGCGGTGAGTCCAGGCGGCTTCAACCTGCACACCGTGGGGCGCGGCGATGAGCACCTCATGCTGCAGCTCTCAGCCAATGGCGTGCTGCCACCTATCCCTGCCGTCCAGTCCACCACATCCTCCTACATGCCACAGGCACAAGCCTCTGTGGCGGCCTTTCCTCTGCCCGATGCAGCAGCGGCAGCAAGCAGTGCGGATGGTGCCCTAGGGCCGGGCATGGCAGGGGGCGTGGCGGGGGGGCAGTGCGGGTGCAGCGGGGGCAGATGAGCGTGGAGGGGCAGGTGCAGGTGGGGCGGCGGCGGTGCTGGAGGTGCGCGCGCTGCCGCTGGACGAGCTCGAGCTGGCGTCGCTGCGCGGCCTGGTGGAGCGCGCCGCCGTGCGCCTCAACTTCGCCAAGCGCCGCGGCCATGGCACCCTGGCTGTGCGGCGTCCGCGCTTCAGTGGCATGTTGTGTGACGCTCTGCACGCCGCCTTCCGGTGGACTGGTGACGTGGTGAGACAGTCGTGTGCTGTGTTGGCCTGTATGCATGCTGCATGAGCTGGCCATCTGACGCCCTCTGTGCTGTATTCTGTGTGCGTGCGTGTGCGTGTGCGTGTGTGCATGTGCGTGTGCGTGCGCGCATGCGAGTGCAGGTGACGCTGGAGCGGTCGGTGCTGGAGCAGGCCAACAGCCGGTACGAGGTGCAGGGGGAGTACGTGCTGCCAGGGATGCGCGACTGGGACAGAGACAGAGACAGCTCGTCAGTCACAGGCATGGCTCACACCCCTGACGCCACGGCCACTGCTTCTGCCACAGCCTCTCACCGCGGGTCGGACTGGGATGCGGAGCAGCAGCGGGCCATGCCGGGGCAGCTGCACGCCATGATGACGTCCATTGGCCGCTGGCGCATGCGCCTCGACGTGCCCCATGCTGACATCAGCGAGATGCTCCCTGGCCTGCGCATTTTGTCTCGTAGCCACGACCCGGCGGTTCTGTTTCGGTCCAAGGAGCTCTTCCTGCACGGCATCGAGGGCGTGGGCTTTGCCTCGCACTCCCTGCAGCACCAGCTCGAGGTCAGTCTCTGCACGCCACCCACACACCCTCTAGTGCTTCGCGCCTGCCTGCTGCAGGGCTTACCCTTGCGTGCTGTGTTCCTCTGCACTTGTTCTTGACGCTCCTTGCCGTCCGTGCCTCCCCGCATCGCCCCCATAGCCCATTGTGCACCCATCACTGTTCATGCCACGTCCCCCCATCATGTTTCACCCCCTGTTTGCCTCCCGCCCATCCCGCACATGGCTACCCCATTTGTGCCGTCACGTGCGGCGTGCGGCAGTATGTGCGGGAGAAGAGGGAGCGGGAGTGGGAGCCAGCGGGCGCGGACGTGGGGGGGGGGGCGGCGGTGGAGGCATTGCCGGGGCTGGTGGATCTTAGGGGCGCTGGCACGGGGTGCTGGAGGCCAGTGGGGGGGCAATGGCGACACGTCCGCGTCGTTTGACGTGCACGGCAGCGACTGGGAGGGCGGGCAGTTACCGCCTGCAGCAGCTGCAGGCGCGGGGGCGGTACAGCAACACGGGGGCCTGCATGTGGAGCGCCTGCTGCTGCAGAAGGACGACGGTGCCACGGTGCATGCGGACGGCACGCTCTTCGGCCCCGCGCCCAACCTGCACTTCGCCCTCCTCAACTTCCCGCCCACCTCGTCCCAACCTTCCTGCAAGCCTCCAAGCCGCTGCCCCTCCCAGCCGTCTGCTGCCTCGGGTGCCCGTTCCCCCCCTCGCCCCTGCAGGCGTGCAGCAGGCGGCGGTGCGGGGCGTGGTGCACGTGGAGGGCGACCTCTCGGGCTCCTTCGCCCAGCCACAGTGCGAAATCCAGGTGGGGCGGGCTGGAGGGTGAAATTCAAATATCGCTTGCGTGCACATAGTGGAGTGATTGGGTGCACCAGTGGATGGAGTGGCCCACTGCTGATGGTGCATGTGGTGCTGCACAGCGCTCCACGCCATGCTCGCGCACCCTAAACGCCCTTTCCACCCCTGATGAGTGTTCTGTTCCGTTCTCAATTCGCCCCCTCCTTCTCCCCCCTCCCCTCCCCCCCTCCTCGCGCCTCAGCTGCGGCTGCTGGACGGCGAGATAGCGGGCGTGGCGCTGGGGCGGGCAGAGGTGGCGGCGTCCCTGACGCCGGCATCGCGCCTGCTGTTTCATGCGGTGCTGGAGCCCGCCCTGGAGGCCGGGCAGGTGCGCGTCAAGGGCAACGTGCCGCTGCCGCCCATGCAGGGCGCGCAGACAGGCCAGGAGGTGCAGGGGGGGGAGCAGAGATCTGGGTAATGGAGGGAGGAGGGGCAACCTCTGTTGGGAGCAGAGAGGAGGAGAAGCGGGGTGGCAAGGCAGGTGAGAGAAAGCAGAAGGCGGCAGCGGAGGGGAAGACGAGGAAGGAAGGCGCGGGGTGCAACGCGGGAGCGGACGGGAGAGAGCAGCCGCATATGGCATGACTGGGACTGGCTGGAGCGAGAGGGAGGGCTGTGGAGCGAGGGCAAGGGAGCGGCGATGGAGGCGAGGGCGAGGAGAAGGGCGAGGAGGAGGCAGGAGAGGAAGGGGAGGGGGAGGAGGAGGAGGAGGAGGCAAAGAAGGGGCCGGAGCTGCTGCGCAGTCTGGCGGAGTTGGAGCGGGGGTTTGAGGGCGAGGAGCAGGTGGAGCGCATGGCGGTGGACGCTAGTGTGACGGACGCCGGCATGATGCTGCTCACCGCTCTCTCACCCTCCTTCCGCTGGATCCAAGGCCACGCCGCCATCTCTGCTCAGGTGCGTGCTGCCATCTCTGCTCAGGTAAGGCTGGCCTTCTAGTGTCTTCGCCTGCTGTTGCCTTCCGTTGCAGAACCCGTGATTCCCCTTTTTCTGCCCCCTCGCCTCTCTCAGAACCCGTGATTCCCGTTTTTCTGCCCCTCGCCTCTCTCAGAACCCGTGATTCCCGTTTTTCTGCCCCCTCGCCTCTCTCAGAACCCGTGATTCCCCTTTTTCTGCCCCCTCGCCTCTCTCTCTTGCACCGTCCTGCCCCCTCAGCTCCGGGGAACACTAACTCACCCTGAGGTGGCAGCAGAGGCGGTGTTCAGCCGGGTGACGGCGTCCTCGCCAGTGCTGCCGCGCCCGCTGACGGGGGGGGGGGGACGCATCCGCGTAGCGGCGCAGCAGCTGCTGGTGGACGGGCTGGAGGGGCGCGTGGGGCGGCGCGGCACGCTCAGGGTGGAGGGCACACTGCCGCTGGGGCTAGGCGCACAGGTGGCGGGGGGGGAAGGGAGGAGGGGGAGGGGGCGCAGGCGGTTGGTGGGGTGAGAGGAGGGAGCGAGGGTATGAGGGAGAGGATGGGCGAGGGTATGAGGGAGAGGATGAGCGGGCAGACTGAGCATTCACGTGACAGCATGCGTGGGGAGGGAATTACCATTATGGCGGAGAACCTTGAAGTGCGCGCGCGCAATGTGTTCAGGTGAGCATGGATCCGTTTGCTAGAAAAGGATTGACTTTTGCTGGACCGCGGGTTGTGGTAGTGTTTGTGAAGTTCTTTCTTTACTGCTGGTTCTTAGCAGTACAGCCCATGACTGTCTGTCAATTTGCCTGTAGCAAAAACCCCTAGTGACGATGCCCCATTGCTGTGCGCGAGCGGTGCTGCAGCGGCCTGGTGGACGCGGGCGTGAGTGTGATGGGCAGCCTGGCGGCCCCTGAGGTGACGGGCGCCATCCGGCTGTCGCGCGGCATCGCGTACCTGTCGCAGGAGAAGGACAGGGCCGACACCCCCTCCCCTCCTCCGTGCCCTCCTCCCTGCTGCCCGCCCACCGCCGCAAGTCACCTGCACTCTCTGCTCCCACCAGTGCCGCTCCTGCCAATTCAGCAGCACCGGATTGGCTGCCTGCCATGTCATCGGCGGCCGCGTCTACAGCCATGAAGCTGCCGCCTTCAGCCCCAGAGCAAGGTCTGCCCCACGCCACTCCCTTCACTCCCCACCTAAGTGGGAAAATCCGCGTTTCGCGTAAATGCGTAAATTCGCCCGAACGTCAGGGCCGTGTTTTGAATTCGTTAAGAAATTCGTTCCTCCCGGGCAGGAAAAAATGTCTGGGCAGTCCCAAAAAAAGTTCCCAGGTAGGGGGGGCGTGGGGGGTTTCAGGGCAACTCTTCGTAAGCAAGAGCACAAATAAATATTGCTTCTCAAAGTTTATGGCGATAGCATGTTCTAGAGTTTGGGGGGGATCCTTCGCAACAACAGCCCTGCAGCAACCTACAGCAACATCATCAACCATACTCGTGAGGTAAGCTAATGTCTATGCTTAAACTAGTTTTACTAGCTAGGACGCGGAGGAGTGATTAGCTAGATCTACTCTACGTGTGGTAGAGTAGCGTGTGAGATGCGTGATATAGTTGTGTAAGTTGTGTTGGGTGGTGGATGGGTTGGGTTATCTAGATGTGGTGGGATTTGATGCGGTTGGGAGCGTGGGAGGGGTTGGGAGCATGTTTTGGAGGTTCAAAAGTTAGAATCGCGAATTGGCGAGGCCACGGATGGGAAAATTCACGTTTTCCTGTCTGGGCTGCCCGGAAAATTTCCCCAAGCGTTTCGCGAATTCCAGGTAAATGTGTAAAACGCTTGGCACGCATTTACCCTTACGAATTTACGCAAAACGCTGGGGGACCTCAACGAATTTTCCCACTTAGCTCCCCACTCCCCACACCCTGCACCCTGTACCCTACACCCCTCACCCCTCACCCCGCACCAGGGTTTATCACTCAGGTCTCGGTGTGGCTGTCAGTCCTCCCTACCGGGTCGCACAAGCCCTCCTGGCTCTCTCTTTCAAGTTCTGATGCCTTGCGACCGTGCACATTGCCGTGTTTGTCCTTTGCATTGGTTCTCCTTAGTCGTCTGTGTGCCATTTTTTTTCCCCATTCACTGTGCTCGTCTTCACCTTTCTTCACCCCCATGCCTTCCTGCCCGGCACCATGAACAGAAAGCACATCTGCACTGCTATCGTCCACCAGTGCCACTGCCCACTTCTGCTAACTCTGCTGCTGCCGTGCCGCCTGCAACACTGCCAGCGCCCCCTGACCTCGCATCCGCCCCCTCGGCGCCCGCCGCGCTGGTGCGGCTGAGGGGGCTGCAGGTGGCGCTGGGCCCGGAGCTGCGCGTGGTGTATCCGCTCATCCTCAACCTCGCCACGCGCGGCGACCTCGAGCTCAATGGCTTCGCGGAGCCGCACCTTGTGCGCCCCTCTGGCACTCTCTTCTTCGAGAACGGCGAAGTCAACCTCGTTGCCACCCAGGTCAACCTCGTCCCTACTTATGCCCCCTCGATATGCCCCCTCTGCCGTTGTTACAGTTTGCAGTTTGTTTGTTCGCTGCTCTGCCCATCACTGCTTTCTCCATCCCTGCTTCACACTGGCCTTGGCTGAACCCTGAGTCCCCAACCGATATGGCATGTCCCGTGCGCAGCTGCGGCTGAACCGCGACCACCCCAACTGTGCGCGGTTTGAGGCGGCGCTGGGCATGGACCCGGTGCTGGACCTGAAGCTGGTGGGGGCGGACTGGCAGATGCGCATCCAGGGGCCCGCCAACCGCTGGCAGGACCACGTGGTGCTCACCACGCTGCCCAGGGGCGGCGAGGAGGATGTGCTGTCGCCCGCGGAGGCCGCCAGGCTGTTTGAGAGCCAGCTGGCGGAGTCGCTGCTGGAGAAGGACGGCCAGCTGGCACTCAAGAAGCTGGCCGCCGCCACCGTGGAGACCCTCATGCCCAAGATCGAGAGCCGCGGGCAGTTCGGGCAGGCGAGGGTGGCGGCCTGGTGAGCGCGCCGCAGATCCCCAACCTGCTCTCGCTGGACCCCACCTCCGATCCCTTCCAGTCACTTGCCAACCTCTCCTTCGGCGCCGAGGTGGAAATCCAAATCGGCAATAACCTCCAGGTGCCGTGACACGCATCATGTTGACATCCATCAGTGGGCATGCACCATTTAGACACGTTTTGACATGCATAATCTTCGCATGCATCATTGTGGACATGCCTCGTCTTCACATGCATTATCGTAACATGCATCATTCCAACGTGCACTACTTCGAACATTTTTTGTACTTGGTGATTGATCCAGGCATCTGTGGTCCGGCAACTGCGCGAGAGTGAGATGGCAACTCAATGGAAACTGCTTTACCAGCTCAACTCCCGTTTACGACTTCTCTTCTCGTCATTGTCGTCTATGGAAAAACGGTTGTTGTTTGAATATTCCGCGTCGTCGCAAAATTGACTATTGTGGTGCTAAGGGCGAATTTCCTACAAAGTTGCATCAGAATCAGAAACGCGTGTAACTGAAATGAACCACACTGAAACGCGATTCAAACACTCGCACCGCACAGTACCGCATGATTCTGATCCAACTTGATTCTGATCCTGAATTCGCCCGAAGTTTGGGTGCTGAAATGTGGAGTGTTTGGCATGCACGTATTGGCTGTGCGTTAGTACTCTCCTCTCCACCGTGTGTTCAATGATGTTGGTTTGGAGGCCTTTTTACCCCCTCTCTCCATTCTCTCTACTTGAAGTCTCCATGTGTGCGAAGTGGAACAGATACTCTATATATACCGACAGACAACCATTGAAACATCACAACAAAGATGACCCTGAGCTCAGCTAAGAATTTGAATAGCCATACCATACCAGCCAGGGTTCTCCTGTGCTTGACAAGGTGGAGCACAATTGCCACAACTGTTGAAGTAGGGAAGTAGGGTTTAGCTAGGTAGCGAGAAGTTTAGCGAGAGAAAAGAGGAGAACGAGACAAGAAAGAGATACACTTAACAGAAAGAATGAAATGACTAGAGTGGTGAGATACAAGGCAATATAGTCTAGAGTGTTGTGCCCAGTAAAGCACAAACATATATAGTCTACAGTAACTGCATAAGCTATGTTTGACACACCCCTTAGACTATATAAGGGCAGTGCCTAACAAGGGAAGAAGCAGCTCAGGGCGGCACTACTAGTCCAGCCTCTGAGACAAGGGTCTAAAGACCAGTCAAAGGAATACAGACAAGGCAAGAGCAAGACCAGGGCGGCACTACTAGTCCAGCCACTAGGAGAGGCCACAAGGCCAGTCAGGGTAAAATAAATAAATAAATAAATAAATAAATAAATATATATATAGAAAGGACAGTACAAGGTCAAGACCCTAGCAAGTGAGAGGCTACAGGAACGAGACCTAGCTGTACACAGTGCCGCTGATGATCTTTAGGCGCAAGTGCCTTCGTAAAGATATCAGCTGTGTTGGCATCGGAGGCCAAGTGTACTACGCGATCCTGGCGGCGCTGCTGGAGCTCACGCAGGAGGAAGTGTCACAGCTGGATGTGCTTCGCTCTGCCCTCGAGTCGAGGCTCCTGACATAGGAGGATCATGGTGTCAAACATGTGTATTTGTCATGTTTGTATAGACTGTATAGGGTCGTCTCTTAGAGAGTACAACACTTAGATATATCTGTGTGTACACTCTATCTATCACACACTTCTCAGTTTCTGTTATGGTATCACGCGTAGGTAGGATCCCCCCCCCCACCTACCGCTTCCGCTCACCCCTCTAGCGCCCCTCCTGGGCCCCGTCGCACCCCTCACTGGGCCCCGTCGCGCCCCTCCCAGGCCACGTCGCGCCCCTCCTAGGCCTGTAGCGCCCCCCCTGGGCCTCGTCGCGCCCCTCCTGGGCTCCGCAGCGCCCCTCCTGGGCCCGTCGGCCCCTCCTGGGCCCGTAGCGCCCCTCCTGGCCCCGTCGCACCCCTCCTAGGCCCGTAGCGCCCCTCCTGGGCCCCGTCGCGCCCTTCCTGGCCCTGTAGCGCCCCTCCTGGGCCCGTCGCGCCCTCCCCCCGTCGCGCCCCTCCTGGGCTCCTAGCGCCCCTCCTGGGCCCGGCGCTCTCCGTCGCGCCCTCCTGGGCCCTGTAGCGCCCCTCCTGGGCCCCGTCGCGCCCCTCCTGGGCCTTCGTAGCGCCCCTCCTGGGCCCCGTCGCGCCCCTCCTGGGCCCTGTAGCGCCCCTCCTGGGCCCCGGCCCCGTCGTGGCTTCCCTCCTGGGCCCCGTAGCGCCCCTCCTGGGCCGCGTCGAGCCCCCCCCCCCCCTCTTGGGCCCCGTCACGCCTTCAGGCCCCGTTGCGCTCGCCCGGCCCCGTCGCACCCAGCCCGGCCCCGTCGCACCAGCCCGGCCCCGTCACGCCCGCCCGGCCCCGTTGCACTCGCCCGGCCCCGTCGCCCCCTGCCCGGCCCCGTCGCAGCCGCCCGGCCCCGTCGCACCCGTCCGGCCCCGTCGCGCCTGCCCAGCCCCGGTGCGCCCCTCCTGGGCCACCGTCCTGCTCGCCCGGCCCCGTCGCACCGGCCCGGCACCGTCGCACCAGCCCGGCCCCGACGCACCCGCCCGGCCCCGTCGCACCAGCCCGGCCCCGTCGCGCCCGCCCGGCCCCGTCGCGCCCGCCCGGCCCCGTTGCACCGACCCGGCCCCTGCGCTCGTCCCTGCCCCGGCCCCGGTCCTCCTCACTGGTACGGTTTCCCCCCCCCCCCTGCCCTGCACTGCCCTCCACCGTACTGCCCCGCACTGCACCGCCCCACACCACCCTGTACTGCCTGGCACCGCACTGCACCTCCGTACACCGCACTGCATCACACCGTACCGCACGGCACCGCACTCCACCTTGCTGCACTGCCCTGCACCGCACTGCACTGTTCCTGATGGCGGCGGAGCTTCGCTTCGACGCTGAAGGCCAGCCTCTGGAGTTCGAGGCGTGGCTTGCCGACCTCCGTCGCCAACTCACTGGCCAGCGGCAGGATGGTGAACCGCTTTCCGCACACCTTGACGGTACGCTCCCCTGGCCAGACCCCCCTGCTATTCAGCCCGCTGACTCCACACCCACTGAGCGTGAGTCCACTGCTGCCACTGCCCGTGCGCGCTCTGTCTGGCTTTCTCGCGATGCTGTCGCCCAGCT